GGGGGGGGGGGGCGGGGGGGGGGGGGGGGGGGGGGGGGGGGGGGGGGGGGGGGGGGGGCATTCCCTAGTTTTGGGAGACACAAGAAGCTTTCCCTAAAAAGCTGTTAGACCCCATTGGCTCCTTGACCTGTTCCTATGTCAGTTTCTATATCCCTGAGCCACTCCTCCCTATTCCTTGATTGGCCCTCATTTTTGTACTGAACAAGTTCACCCCCAGGCCTCTTGGGAGAGAAACTTAGTCCCTCTATGTGTGGGTACTGGGACCTGAACATCTCACCATGCAGCTGCATAAAACCCTCTATGGATATTATGCAAAGGCCCTTTTTGCTTCCTTACCCTGTACTATACTAGCAGCAATCCAGCCTGCTACAGGACAGGACCCAGCAAAGCTGGAGAAGTGAGCCCATGCAAATTTCACGAGATTTAATAAGGCCAAGTGTAAGGTCCTGCACTTCCTGGTATCAACACAGGCTGGGGCAAGAAGGAATTAAAAGCAGACCTGTGGAAAGGGACATGGATGTCTACTACACATGGACAAAATGTCAGACATGAGCTGAAAACGTGTCTGAGGGAAATGGTTCTCCCCCTCTGCTCTGCCCTCGTGAGACCCCACCTGGAGAACTGTGTCCAGCTCCAGGGTCCCCACCTCAGGAAAGACATGGGCCTGTTGGACTGAGTCCAGAGTAGGGCCACAGAGATGATCAGAGGGCTGGAACATCTCTCCTATGAGGAAAAGCTGAGACATTTGGGACTGTTGAGTCTGGAGAAGGTTCTAGGAAGACTTCATTGCCAACTTTCAGTACCTGAGGGGAGTTACAGGAAAGATAGAGACAAGTTTTTTAATAGGGCCTGTAGCAATAGGATAGGGGGCAATGGTTTCAAACTAAAAGAGAATAGATTCAGACAAAATATAAGGAAGAAATATTTTAAAAGGAGGGTGGTTAAACACTGGAAGAGGTTGCCTAGAGAGGTTGGAAACATTCATGGCCAGACTGGACAGGACTCTGAGCAACCTTGAGTGGCAGCCAACTTGCATAGAAGACTCTTTGAAGATTATCTCAGTAAGCTACAGTGCTAAACGTAGGAGTCTGCTTCACACTGTACTAGTTCTTTTGCTTTAGGTCTCAGTGTAGGCAGCTTACTGCATACTAAGTATGCACATAGGGAAAGAGGCAAAAGTATCTACTGATCAATGTTTACCTTGCGAACGGCAAATTAACTTCCTTTCAGGTACAACCTTATTTCCATCAGTGGGAGTGTTGCTGTCCTTTTCCCTAATTATCAGTTCAGATTTCACATAGAAATGTAATTATTATAAATGCCCAGATCGTATAACAATATCCCAATCTATAATTTAAAATAGTTTTAATATAGCATTTGAACACAATTATGGATTGCAGTGGGGCCTTTTCTATAAGAAAACGTTAAACTATTTTGAACAGCAAGAAATTATTCAAATGTTTTCTTATGCCTCATGGTAAAAAATGGCTAGCAGAAAAAATTTGTCATAATAATTCTAGGATATCATGAAAGTTTCTTTGAACTTTGTGGTTGAAACAACTAATTTTCCCCAGTCACCAGGGTTCAGAGCTCAAACAGAAAATGTCACAATGACCCAAGTGTCTGGAACAACTTCTTAGGATTTGTTAGTGTCAGCCATAAATCAGAGAAAGCCAAACCAGAAATGCTAAGAGAATGTAAACTCTCCCCTTTCAAGTGCTCCACTGCAGAATCCATTTGGAGTCCAGAATGTGTGCCAGGCAAGATGTGTTTTCTTCTCTTCTTCAGGCAGCCTGATAGCAGCAGATTATAATCTTACTTGAGATTTAGATGTTTCATGGGAATATTTAAGATTTTACCAAAGTTAAAGGGTTGTTCCTATTAATGCAAAACAGTCCATGAAAGTGCAGCAGACACAACAACTGACGCATTATAATGGTGCAAATCAGTGAAACTGAAACATTGAACAAACCTGATGAGGGAGGGACTAGAGACAGTAGTGAGTAACAGCCTGTCTGGTATGTCTGAAAATGAAAGCTGATGGTGAAACTTCTGACAAAGGCATAAATTATTTGTTCTTTCCTACAGTATGCAGAAAGTCTTACTGGTAGAAGGCAGTACAAATTTGCATCAATTTTGCATTTACACTATATTATAGCTATGCAAAAAAATTTTCAATAGAATATGATCAGTTGCTTAATATAAAAATGTATTAGAAATTTAATTTTTTAAAAAATTTGGTTGCATACAATATGACAGTTTATTCTCATGATCTTTCCTGAATTTAATTTCAGATCTGAAGTTACATCTACAGACTACAGACTATGGCAATTTCTTGGCTAATGAAACTGGCCCTCTCACTGTTTCCACCATAGATGAAAAACTGAAAACAAAACTACTCACAGAATTTCATTACTTTAGAAACCATGCTTTTGAACCACTTGCCACTTTTCTGAATTTTGTCACGTGAGTAATATTACCACACAGCTTACCACACAGTAGTAAAATAGCTTACCACATATCTTACCACACAGAAAAAACAGTTAAAATAGTGTAAATGTGACATATTGGAATTTCTATTAAGTTTTAAAACGAGCAAATTTACTTTGATACTGCTACATTTTCATGCTTTACTTGCTAATATAAATTCTGAAACTGTATGTTTATATGAAGAGCTGTTGTCTTTGCAGCTAATTATTTTAAAGAACAGAAACAGTTTTCTTTATGTGAACAGTGGCAGAAGAAGTGGTAGAAATTAATTAATTTGAAAAACTACATTTGGGAGGGGGGGTATGAGTCATGCAGGATTAGCAATTTCATGGTGCACAGGGAAGTGATTTAATTCCTAGGCATGTGGCAAATTGCAGACCTTTTTAAAGTGGGAAAGACAACACATCCTACACCTGTCATAATTTTTATGCTATTTGAACCAAATAAATAAAAACCAGGAGGACGTTATATGGCATATTGTAAGGTACTTAGATCCAAGTAGCGTTATTTTAAAAGTCAGCTGCTGTTCGATGCCAGATTAAGAGAAAGCTCTGATCTCAATACCATCATAAATAGATGAAACTTGAAAATGAATGGCTTAAACAACTTTAAGAACAGGGATCTGCTTTATAACAGTACAGCAACATGGATTACCAAAATAGCAGCATGATATTTTACCTAACTATTTACTCCCCTTGGTTGTATACTTTGAATATATTTTAAAAAGAACAATTAACTCTTCAACTAACTTTCAAGAAGCATTTTTATTATAACAGTAAAAAAGAAAGTATCACCTTTTTTTTTCTGGTCAGTGTAGCTGACCACTTTTAGGCTAATATATTAACAGGATCTTAAAGTCTGCCCTAGGATTCCTGTGGACATGCAATGTTTACATTTTGTTTCAGGGAAATAAAAATGGAAGGGTGAAAGTTTTGGCAGTTCGTTTCTCACACTCATTGACATAAATGTATAGATGTGTATGCACAGCCTTTGCTCACTGTTGTTTTTGTTAAATAATGGATACACTGGTTAAAAATATTTCACACAAATCATTGAATTACGTTCCACCAGATCCTCAAGCCCTCTTTACATATTTTGAGTGAGAACATATAAATCTCTGTACGTTTCTAGCTGTGTTCTTAGTCAACAATGCAAACTCAAGACTGGCATTCAAGTGAATAGTGTTCCCATTTCTGAGTCACTGACAAGACTCTTATTAGCCCCTTTGACACTAAAACTAGTATGAAGCTGATAGAAAACTTCTACTCAAAAGAAAACTTTAAGTAATAAGAAGAAATCTGTAAGAACCTCTTCTTAGCCCTCTCATGGGAAGATATTTAAAACTGAGTGAGAAGAAAACTTAAGATGGGACATTGCATGAACTCTGCAGTTTTAGTGCCGAGATTCTCATGTACTTCTTTTTCCAGATGGTATATATGAAATAAAAAAATCCCAAACTTGAAAAGTTGCTAGCTCAGGTGATTTGCTTTGACTACCACTCATTGTCACTTGTTACAGTGAATCTACATCTCTCAGATGTTATGTTTATTACAGTCATGTGTCAGTACCACCTTCTTTAAAAATGTCCACTTTCTAAATCAGTCATATCAATCAGGTATCAATCAGGTTTAAAACTAGTGCTGTGTTATCTACTTGCTGTTGAAAAACTTCTGTTGATTTTTGATGACCTATTGGTACAGAATGAACATGCATTCTGATAATACTTTGGTATTGTGGCTAATTTTCAAAAATTTTCGGGTTTTATTTTTTCAAGTGAAGTTGATGATAAAAATAATTTATTTTTACATTTTCTTTCCAATACAGATACAGCTATATGATTGACAACGTAATTCTTTTAATAACTGGCACATTACATCAGCGACCCATAGCTGAACTTGTTCCCAAGTGCCATCCATTGGGGAGCTTTGAACAAATGGAAGCAGTCAGCATTGCCTCAAACCCCACTGAACTCTTCAATGCAATTTTGGTTGACACACCTTTAGGTAAAAACACTAAATTATTTCTTTTTTTTTTTTTTTTTGAACAGGATGTTTCCCACTGGATATGCTCTGTTTTGTTAACACAAATCTTGAATTGTAGATCAAGAACATCTGAAGTGGTGTTCAGGACATACTCTATTAAAATTTATTAATAGCTTCTATATCCACCTTGGGTAGCAGACTCAGAAAAAAACATGTTACTCAAGAAGTGCAATGCATATCTTTTCTTTTCAAAGCAGTCACTGATTTAAAACATATATACTTTTATTTCAACACCTACATTATATTAAAAAATATGTCTTCAGTAAGGATCAAGCAGACAGCTACTAATAAATATTAGATGTTGTGGTAGAACCCATATTTCCTCTTGAGATCTGGGCATGGTTCAATTATAAAGAAAAGTCCTATTTTGAAGAACTAAATCTAAGAGCAAAGGAGGGTAAAGTTTGGGAATGTCACATTATGAAATTAAGATGAAATTCTGCTCAATGTGGTGCAGCAGGCAACATGAACAAAACCTAATAGCCTGTGAAGGGCACTGAGAATAGGACAGAACTGGATGTATTTGAATGTATATGAAATCATTATGTGCCCTCATCTTCAGTACTGTGAGAGGTTTTGCGATCTGCTTCTCAAAAAGGTGTGATAGGTTGGCCCCAGACAGAAAAAAAATCCCACCCAGCCACTTGCTCACCCCCTACTGTCAGCACAATGAGAGGGAGAAAAAAGGTGGAAAAAATAGATTGTGAGTTGAGATCACCCACAAAGTACTGTTGCAGGCAAACCAGACTAAATCTGTGGGGAAATTAACTTGATTTATTACTGATTTGTATATGTATGACATATTTAATTACTGATCCAGATATAAGGAAACAAACAGAAAATAATGAAACATTTAGGGGAAAACTTGGGGAAACCTGGGGGAAAATACCTTTCCTCCAGCCTTTTTTGCTCCTTCATGCCAGGCTCCTCTTCTCTGCCCCCCTGTTATGCCCACAGGTTGCACTTCATCCCTCCAGACAGGCAGGGCAGTCTCAAGGGGCAGGGAGAGTTTAGAGCCATAGAATCATAGACTGGTTTGGGTAGGAAGTGAGATAAAAGGTCATCTAGCTCCAACCCACCTGCCATGGGCAAGGACACCTTCCACTAGACCAGGTTGCTCGGAGCTCCATCCAACCAGGCCTTGGATAATTTCAGGGATGGGGCATCCACAACTTCCCTGAGCAACCTATTCCTGTCTCATCATCCTCACAGTAAAGAATTTTTTCCTAACACCTAATGTGAAATTACCCTCTTTCAGTTTAAAGCCATTCCCCATTGTCCTATCATTACATGTCCTGGTAAAAAATCCCAGTTTGTTTTTCAGGTAGGTGCCCTTCAGATAGACCTGCTCGACTGAGGGGCTGGGCTGTGCCCTTGGTGGGTCCCAGCTGGAGCTGCCTGTGTCCAGCACAGCACAGTCCTGCCTTTCCCTCACAGAGGCCACCCTGCAGCACTCTCCCATCAGCGCCTGGGCACTGTACAGTGAAATCTGAGGAGGGACAGAGCAGGGCTGCTAAAATGAACAGTGCTGCCATGTGTAGACAGACTAAAAAGTCCAGACTGCAGTTTGGAGTGGACAAAGCTGATGAGAGACATGGACATGATTCACAGATTCCTTAGAGCAGTGGTTTGTTCACAGTGAGTTATGAACTGCTGCTTACCAAATCCTTCATAAGACCAAGTGCCAGCAGAAAACTAGTTCTAAAAGGTAAACTAAACCACTGCTTTCACACAGATGGTAGTAAATTTCTATTTTGTTTTGGTTTTGTTTTTTTTTTTTTTTTTTTTTTTCCTGAACTAGTTCGTAAAAGAAGAGAGAGTTATCAGCACTTTAAAGTCATGGGACAAATTTGTGGGCAATAGATCTACAAAGAGATACTGAAGGGAGCTCTCAGGGCTACGCTTCCTGATATTCTCCATTCAAAATCTGGATGCTGCAAAAGTAGGAAGGGATAAGACCACAAAATATGGCCAGGTTCACATCTTCTCTGTAAATATTGTCTTCCACTGCCACTGCTTGGGAAAGCACTTTTTCGTATGGTACTGCTCTGCCCCACTGGGATAGCTCAGCAACAGCGAGAGGTACACGTTGGTTATGAATATCATATTTTTTAAATGGTCCAGCTGCACAAGTGAAATTCATCCACTGCCTCTCTGCTCAAAAGCTTGCTCTTTAGTCAGTTCTGATGAGGATCCCTAAGCACAGATGGTCAAGGTCAAAGCACGTGCCCTTTATGAGCTGCAACCTGTTGCCTTTCCCACACTGCATACGCAAAGAAGAAAATAGGAAAATAGGAAAGAGGATTCTCCTTAACAATTGCAGAATACCTGCATGATTTCAGACAAAAATTATTTTTCATGTCCCTCACTAGAAAATCTCCATAATAACCAAACTATATACTTTAGAGAAGATTAGGTCTTTCATTAGCATTCCCATTTGATTCTCTCTGGAGACATGGGCTCTGCCTGCAGCACTGATTGATTCCCCTCACTGCAGATTCTCATTAAAAAGGAGGGGATAGGAGGATAAGGGGAAAATCAAGTGGATTTTTCTTCCTCTCTTTTGTATCACCCTTTCTTGTACAACAGAACCCTCGGATCCTTGTTCATACACTAGTGAGCAATAGACAGGAGATGCATATTATCAGCATGCAGATTTATACTGCCATGTTATAAACTCTGCTTTCAGCTGCTTTTTTTCAAGACTGCCTGTCTGAAAATGACCTGGATGAAATGAACATTGAAATAATGCGCAACAAACTGTACAAGGCAAGTCTTTGCAACAAAATGATAATATTTGGGGTTTATCAAATGTCTCAGCAAAGCAGGTCAGTATCATTAACCCTTTTTTATGGATGGGAAAACAGAAGTATGGTGAGATAAAGCAAGCTGTCTAAGGTCATCTGGTTGATTTCAAGTCCAGGAATGAAACCCAGCTGCTTCCTTTTCTACTCCACTGTTTGGGGACTTTTCAAATTTTAGGTCTGCATCCAAATTCTAATTTAATATCTCATTAATGAAAATGATCTAGATGTCAGGCTAATATCCAGATCCAGATTTGTTTATGAATAACTCAGCCACCAAACGCCAGAGAACTCTTAGCTCCTGAGTGCCACCAGGCAGGCTTTTGGCTAATGTTTATCTTTATTTATATAAGGAAGATGAGATTTGAAAGGGTCTAATGGTTTTGATTTTTACTTAGGGATTTTGTATAATTTTCTTCCTTTAAAAATAATTTTTAGCATTGTTACAGCACAGTGCTGCAAGGATATGCATTTAATATGAGCCTTGCATTTTCAAAGTATTTTACAAATCTTAGCACCCAGGTCACTGCTCTTACAATGCTCTCTTTAAAGTCTATACATACTGCAATCCATCAATGGTTCTTCCTGGCACATTCTCTTCAAAATCTTTATCATTTTTCTTTCACAGTGGATTCCCAGATTGCAGGAAGTATTTTTACAGTGATCTGATTGCACTGGGGGGGAAAGAAAATAAAATTCTGTTTGTCTTACAGAGATATTTATAAATTTCAAAGCCAATTTTTAATTCTTAAAACGTTTACTAATTCTCTCATTCGATACAACATCAATTATGCCTACGTATATTAATTCTTTAATGTATTTTAATTCTTTCACAGTACTACTATACTAGACACTTTTTCCAATTTGGTAACATACATATTTGATTCTTATATCCTGTGTGGATGTCCATATATTAACACTTTTCAAATCTATGGTTTTTTTCTTCTTGCTCATCTGAACATTAGGGGGACCATTCTGCAAACACTATTAAATTATTAATAGATAATTTCTCCTTTACTTCAGCTGTCAATGTGATCAATTGCTTCTGCTCTACTATCAGATAGTACTATACAGAACCTAATGCATAATTTTATGCAGTAGATCCCCCTTGAGATGTCTCTACTTAAAATTCACTTAATTGCATAGTTAGTAACAGCTCCTAACAAGATTGTGTAAAGCTGTAGTAAATGCATTTTAACATAAATGTTCTCTAATACAGTATTTTGGGAGATTGAGAGGCAGGCAGAACAGCATCTCTGAGATATTTTGTGTCCTTTCTGCACAAGTACTTTGAAATGGGTGCAGATGCCAGAATCCTTAATAGACCAGAGGGCTCTGCAGACCAGTATTACAGAAGCTTTGTCTGCTGTTCTCTCCTAATCCAGGGTTTAGGGTAGAGCAGCAGGGATTAGTTTGTGTATCCTCATCCTGCTGGCCCAACAGCCGTGGCATATGCCCAAATCCCCTCCTCCACACACTATAAATGAAGAGTTTCCTTTAGCCATCTGCTTATTATGCAGTGGAAGCTCAATGGAGCTCAAAAAGTTTCTTCTTCAGAGAGCAAGTAAAACATTATATTTTCTTATTACAATTTTTGAAAACATTTGATCTCAAATTGTAAAAACAAGATATTTGCATTCAAATATTTCAACTTTCATTTGAACTAAGTAATTAAGCACATACTTAAAATCGAAATTCATGGGTGGAATTATCAAAGTTAATAGAAGTATTTAAAAATGAGGTTCATGGCTATGTGCAATCCTGGTCCAGGTCTTAAGCATTTAAAATATTTCTCTTTTTCTTTCATGTAGTCTTACCTCGAGGCATTTTATAAGTTTTGTGAAAAACAAGGTGGTACTACAGCAGAAATAATGAGACCTATTCTTGAGGTAAGAAACATTCAGTCTTTTTACATTAAAGTACTCCACAATGTTGTCATAATTGTCTCATTTTGTTTTTCCTGTTCAATTTCTCTCCATTTGCAAAGGTAGCTGTGAAATGTTTGCTTCTCCTCTAAATATACCTGTTTTTTCTAAGATGTAATGAACAGTGTATTCAAGGATGACTTTTACCTTTTTAATAGAACAGCAGCTAGACCATTACTAAGGAGGAGCCAGTCGCAGTTAACATTTTTCTGTATAAGAGAGCAGAACAGAAAAAATGGTTCACTAATCTCAGCCTGTTGCCCTTTAACATTTCTCTCCATTATGTAGAAAACCCAAAAATTTTGATTATTGAGTTTGGGATAGCAAAAGCCTGGCATCACTGTCTATTTATTAATCAGTAATCTTCAAGCTTCATGTCACTGCTATGTTTGTTTAGTCTCCTATTAAAATTAGTGATTTAGGTTAGAGTTCAGTGACCTTTGGAATTAGTGTCATATAAAAAAGTAGAACATTCTGTGTTACATTTTTGTGTCAACTCAGCAAAATTTAATATTTTTTTCCATGGCATACAAAGTTCCTAATGTCCTCCCCTCAAAGCATACATGCATCTAGTGAATGATATTTTTGTCTCTGTTATTTTAATAAAAGATGCAGAAATTGCTAATATTGAATTCTCAGCATTCAGGTCCCCTTTTCTTTTTTTTTCTCACTTAGTCTGTCACAATTCTTTGCAGAGGCTGACAGCCAGACCACCCACTTGCTTCCAGGAGTCTTTTTTTCTGGATAAGCAATTTTACACCCTGGAAACCAAAAAAAATTCACTGAGGCCTGATGACATCATACTGAAAATTTGCATTAAGAAGAGAGATAATAACACTAGGAGCTCATTCCTCAGGGAAGAATGTGTCTGAATTACATTTTACAAAATAATGTACTAAAAGGGTTTGCAATTTCCGATTTTAATTAAGCAAGTCACAACGTTTTAATTTATGCTCTAAACAAAGTGTTCCTAATCAAGTTAAACTGAATAGAAATTAAGTATTTTGACTTTTCTTTTTTAAAAATAAAAATCAAGAGACTGGCTGGCATAGTTGATTCAGATTTTTTCAGAAAGTTTGTTTTTAAATAGAAATTCATGCTCACTGCAGATTACTTACTAATGGTAGTTTAAGCATGTGGTAAAACTCCATTTATATCAGTGGTAACAATTTAGCCTGTGATAAGCTTCTTTAAAATCCCTATCTAATGTCAATCAGCCAGGAGGATAAACTTTTCTGTAGAAGATTTTCTTTTCTATAACATTTTATTAACCTGAAGAGACACACTGAACAGACTGCTGATGGTTGGATTCACAAAAAGATACAAGTTTAATTATTCAAATGAATACTTGCTGTTTATTTTGGAATCTTATATGTAAGACTACCAGCCTGACCCTACAGATGAGGCTGAGGTATTTAGCTCCCCAACTCCTTGACTACCACATATGGTGCCAAACTGATGATCTCTTTTCCACTGTGAAACACACGCTGCGTGGTTAGCCCTGAATCTGGCAAGAAACTGCAGGACTGCGCTGCACTGCACCTAAAGCTGTGTCTGTTAGCACGGCCTCATGCCAAATTCTGAACCAGCAGTCTCCCGCATGCAAACATGCACTAAGGAAATGGTCATCCTCTGACTCCACCTCCACCTGCAACAATCAGATGAACTGTCCCCAAGTAATTGCCTCATGGCCTTACTCTCTGTAAGTGTACCAATAATTTGATGAATTGAGAGGTCTGAATGGATGGGAGTTATCCTAAAAATTTTCTCAAACTGGAAGCCACCAGAAGCAGAACTCCCACCTGCTACCATTAGTTGCAATTGCCTCTAACATTTTCTACCAACAAAATATTACACATCTAACAGCTAGATTTTACCTGGCTTTAACAAGTTAAAAAAAGAAAACATTTGTCCTTCTAAAATTGTTTCAGTAGGTCTAATAGGCTTATTTTTATTAATTAGGGAAGTGAAGTCTGGCCCTGTTATTCATTAGCTAGAAATCTTTTCAAGCATGCTTATTTTCTTCTCATTACTTTACTGTTTACTCCTTTATCCTTACTGCGAAGTCAGTGCCAGCGAGTAGTGAGTTCCTGTTATTTGTGTGTTCCCATACACAAGAGTAGATGTGAATACATGTTTTTGCTAAAGTGGCAGATTAGTGTTGCAAATGCAGCCTTATTATTCAAATGAAAAGAGCACCTCTCTGCTTAAACTAGCTCAAATACTCACAGCATAAGAAACTTTGTAAGCTGCCTAAAATGTGCGTATACTTCACTTGGGAAGATTTTCCCTGTGTAATCCCTGCAGTTAGCAAGGGCTCTGCTGTTGTTAAAACATGAAAGTAAGGAATAAAATAAAGAACTAAAACCATAGTAAATTTAGATCTCAAGACAGAAGAGAAGATTGTTTTTATTTACTACTGCATTTTTAAGTCATGCTGTAAGAATGGTAAGTGAAATTTTGCCTTGTACAAAATAAGAACCTGAGATCTAGACATTGGATTGCCTTTCAGTCTGCTGCTGCAGTGAAAATACAGATACTACAGGCAACTAAACATGACAGAAGAAATACAGCCTTTTATTCTATGTATTAAAAATTAACTGTTATTTGAAACACTTAAAACTTTAACTTAGCAAGTAAACGGTCCCCTCCTCCTTATCAAATTATCATTTTAAATATGTGCATTCAGAAACTACATTTTTTTAGGATTTTCATTCAACTTTTACTATCAACAGCACTTTGAGTTATGGGCAGTACTATTGATTCTTCATCCTTTCCTTTATTAGTTATATTTATATTTATTTTATGCATAATCTTACATGGGAGGGTGTGAAGATATTTTTTCTTGTCAGCATCTGGGTAACTAAGCAGGGAAATGAGGAAGCAGCAGAAATGATATTTTTAGGAAAAAAATCACAGAAAAAAAACTGTAGTTGTAAAATCTTGTTTGATTTTCTAGTTAAAATGTAATGCATATTTGCAAAGAAGAATTTACAGTTATAAAAATAAGGTATGTTTCCAATGCTCCCAAGTAGAATTAAAAAAAAAAAAATTCCTTGTTTGACTTACTTAAAAACCTCAGGATAGACCCACCCTAATTTAGAAAGAGATGTCTAATAACACCTCTTTATTCTTTGTTTTGCATATTAAGTTTGAGGCAGACAGACGTGCTTTTATCATCACCATTAATTCATTTGGCACTGAGCTGAGTAAAGATGACCGAGAGAAGCTGTATCCAACCTGTGGAAAACTTTATCCAGAAGGCTTACACCTGTTGGCCAATGCAGATGACTACGAGCAAGTGAAGTGTGTTGCAGAATACTATGCAGTATGTAAACTAATTTATTAAAACAAAAAGCCAGTGTAAAAATAGTTAACATCTCCTGACATCAGCAAAATTTTTAAGGGTATACACATAAGTTAAAAGAATTTTCACGAGAGGAAGAAAATCAGCGGAGGTACTAAAGTTCCCATAAAAATGTGTATGAGATCAAAGACTTTTGATATGAAGAGATAAGATTAAGATAAGACATTATTACTTTAGTGCAGTACAAAGTTCCTCTTACAGAGATGTTTAAGTAAGAGCAAATCACATCTAGTAAATAAAACTCTTCCTACTCCATTAACTCTCCCCAAATTAAGTTTCACTTTGTTGCTTCTGCCTCCAAGATTTTGGAGCATAGCCATACAACATTTTAAACTGAGCTGACAAAACAATTAATGTCACAGATTAGTCAAACCTTATTTATTGTCAGTATACCATAAAAATTCCCTTCTCAAACATTTTCTCTAAAGCACTAATTGATTCAAAGAACTAGATGAAAATGTTAATATTAAATATTAAAGTTAAAATATGCAAATATTGCTGTTATTAAAGATTAGTTAATCTGCAACAGTTGATCTATGAATTAACTGCTGTACTCTGTCTAACTATAATATTTAAGCTACCTCTAAGTAGGTACACAGAAAATGTCTGGTATATTGCTTTTTCTGCAAAAAGCCCCACAAAGGTGGAGCTGTGCATCTGCTCCTATGCATAGGCAGAACATTTTAATCATGAGTTACCATGTCAGTGAGGTATGGAGCAAGACTGTTCACGAGATGGTGGGTTATCTAGGTGAATTTGGGAACCATTGTAGTAGACATCTACTGCACTCCTACTTTAAGGGAAAAACAAACCAAACACACAGAGAAGGAAATTCATAGAAACGTAACACCTAAGAAATCAAGTCAAATGTATCTGCAAAGGATATTCCAGGATGACCAAATCAGACTAATGGATTTGGATACAATATTAATGCAGGTAAAGCAAATCCAGCTGACTACTGGAAATAAAAGGAACAGCCATGTGATGATCAGAGTTCAGTGTTTTGGCTCCATTTAGAGCTCTGGCTCTGATGGATACTATTTGTACAAGAAATTCAGTGCTCTCTGCCCAAAGGAGTGAGAAGTCACATGTCATTCCACAATGTCTCTTTTAGTGCCTTCAGCAAATTAATTTAAATTGTTGGAAAAGATGATAAGAAATACAAGAACAAATCTTATTTTTCTTTATTTTGCTGATTATATGCTTTTAAATTTTGATTTATGTAGAATTGTAATCTATACAGGAGGTCCTCTATACAGAAAGATTACTTAACGAAGATTAATTTACAAAGTAATGTTAGGTGTCTGTGCTGCACAGAATGCAAAAGTACCTTATTTCCATGGAGTGGTTGTTTGTGCTTTTAGGAATACAAGGCTGTGTTTGAAGGTGTAGGGAGTGGCACTGGAGAAAAGACACTGGAAGACGCATTTTTTGAACATGAGGTAAAACTTCTAACCTTAAAATACAAAAATGACTGTTACTCACATAGAAAAATAGTTAAAGCAAGAATGAGGTACCAGGCTTTTGATTCTGCTATACTGCTTTCTATTCAAGAATATAGAATTTTGATGGCTGTCAACATTTGGCTGAATCAAAATAGAAGAATTTAACTTTTTAAGTAAGATTAATCCTATAACAATCTTCTGAAGACTTTTTACAGAGCTATCAATCCTGATAACCTATCCAAAAGCTATCTCATATACACCACTTAATTGAATTTCTTTTGAGTAATCTACTAGAGAAGGTATTTCACCACTGTCTTTTATTTCCTGTAATATTGCTGTAGTCTATTACCAAAATTATTCCACAGATGACATTTCAATTACACTGATACTCAAGAGATTGCTAAATATAATCATAGTTGCAAAGCTGCAAGAAATCTTGAACATAAAAGCTACCATAAAAAATCCCATTCATCTTCCTTGATATTTTATCATAACACTTGCTTCATCTTTTCTACAGGTAAAGCTGAATGTGCTTGCATTCAACAACCAGTTTCATTTTGGAGTATTTTATGCCTATGTGAAGTTAAAGGAACAAGAATGCAGGAATATTGTATGGATTGCTGAATGCATTTCTCAGAGACACAGAACCAAAATTAACAATTACATTCCAATTTTCTAAATCTGAGAATCTATAATGCTTGAAAAGATGCATCATTTCATAGAAAAGAAGAAAAATCTTATTTCAAAAATTAACTCTTATCAGATGTTTTAAATTGTATTAATGAGTCTCCTTACATACCTCGCCGTAGGAAAAAAAGTAATGCAATTAGAGATACAAGTACTTCATAAGGAAATACTAATGGGTTTATTCACAAATTTGTTGGTAGATTTGTTCCCCATGGTGCCTATTTTAATTTAATTGATCAATAAAAACCTCCTGCAACTTCTTACATATATACTCTTTCACTTTTGTGGAACCAAGATTTGTATCAATGACATTTGAAAAGCTCTTTAATGGCCTATTTTTTAAAAAAAATTAATGTTTTTCTCAAAGGGCCAATTAAACCACTACTTCTATCTCACAGGGTCTTTCTCATGGCATATAGATTGTATGAAGGACTTAATACACAAATAAGATAGAAACTCTGAGATTGCCGTTAACAAATCTGAAGAAAAAGCTTCCTGATCTTAACTGTGACCCCTCTCTGCAACTAAATGTAAATAAGTAATTTCAGTATCACTAAAATGTTTTTATTTCTTCCTTTATGGTCAAATGGGGAGCACCCTAAGTGTCAAACAATGGGGGTCTGATCTAGTCCACAGCAATAAACATATCCCCTCCCAGCACACCAAAGAATTGTCTTTATGTATGCACTAGAGAAGATTATGAAACATGAATGAAAATGACAACCAAGTCTGTATCAGTTTTACATCAGACACAAACAACACCAGCTCTGAGCTATTTGAGGACCTGGCTAGGATCAGTAACTAAAAATAGAGGGAACAGTTGAAGCCAGATTGTAGCAGGACAAGATTAATTCTGCCCAAGAAAAAGGGAGGATTTTGAAAGCTTTATCAACACTCTGCCTTTCTACTCTATTCGAAAAATTTGCCCTTTTATCTTTCAAACAGGTCATACCTTGATTTTCCGCATGACTTCCCAGTTTCAGGCTGCACAACAGCAAATATCACTCTTCAGTGGCTGTTCCTCCAGTAAATATGATACAGAAATCAATTTCCTTCTGAGTAGACAAAAAAAAAATATATCTGATGTCAACATCTCAGAACAGTGGAAAAAATATTCAGGCATCATGATCTTAAAAATTGAGACATAATATAGCTCTCTCTATAATATGTAAATGTGCATATGCATTCATACATAAAAAATAATAAAATTTGTGAGTTTTTTATAAATCCATACTTCCTGAATTGCAAATAACACCATAAAGGCCATATCCCAGAACATCCTATACTCATTTAATGCAGAATTGAGATGATGTTAATACTTTGTTTCATTGTGAATACCAGACAACCTTATAATATTACTTTAAAAAATATTTTCATAGGTTAATTTAGAAATAATTTATTACGAATTTAGAAAAATTGACTAAAAACTAATAAGTGTATAAGACAAGAATACAAGTCTTATTTCTATATTAAGGTGTATATCTTTAGTAGATCCAGAAATTCATTAAAAAATAAAAATAAACAAAAAAAAAAAAAGAATATATTTGCAAGTCTAATCTGTGATCAGTGCTTTCATATACCACAACCTGTATCACAAACTACTTCACAAACTGCAACGGAGAAAGAAATACAAAACATTGCCACAAATTTGTAGATTTTTCTATATTTGTATTAAAATTACATGAAATTCTAGATATGCATTTAAAAAATGTTGGGAGCAGAAGAATAACAAAGTCAACTGGTTTGGGTCACAGAATATTAATTAATACAATTCAGCATAGTGCATGAATACTTTTTCTGTACTGATAAATCAGGCCTCCTTACTCGAACAAAACAAATGAGCTGACTTTCTGCCAAGAATTTTCTGAAGTGATTTGAAGGGGAAAGAATCTGCTCTCCACCCTAAATCATTCTGTGCCAGGGAAGATATGCAGCTGCTGTTGCTATAGTCTGGATACTGTTGGCTCAGAAAGAAGTGAGCAGGAATTGCAGCTTTCATGACTATGTTGTCAGCAGAACTGGTCTTTAGACCATGGAAAGGACAGCATAAGTTTTGATTGATGCTTTTTCAAAACAAATGTCTAGATATTTGCCAAATGAGGACAGCTCGTAATAGACCTCTATTGTATTTAATTCAAGGATAAGCAAGCTAGGACTTTAAAATTTTAACTTCTCAAAATCTATCTTTTTCTATAAATAATATATTTTACATTACTCCCTTGTTACTAAAATAGTCTTTATGCTGGTGTATATATCAATATAAATCTATAGACCTATAAATCTAGATATATAAAATATAGAGTTTGCTGAGTTTGAAGGAACCCAATATAAAGGGGATATAAAGGTCATATATCATCTCCAACAAGACCTTAGAGTGGAAATTCAGATCACAGGATCACTACCAAGGGCATCATTAACTTCTTGATGGTAATGTCAACCTATAACATAGGGGAACAGGAAGCAGCCACTTTTCATCTTTTCCCTTTCACCTCTCGACATGAACTTGTGTTCACACTCTTTCATGGCTAAGCCTATCCAGTGAAACTCGTTCAATATGATTATGGTCACTGTGCCTCTTGGGCTGCATCTTTAGTGAGAGATGGAGAGCAGGACCAGGAACGAGTTCCTGGTGGGCTTTGGGAGCTGTGAACCTTTCCTTCCCATCTTTGCCTGAGCTGTAGCTCAGGCTTGATGTGCTCGCCGTCTGCTCACAAACAGCTGGGCAGCACAGAACTGTGGATGGACTGGACTGTGGTGTTCCAAGCACTTCCCAGGCCCAATCCCTCCTTCCAGCATGAATTACTGCATTAGGTGCCTCTGCTAAGAACTGAAGATTTATAGGACGAATCATATCAGCGTGTGGTCATAAGATTTTCTCTGGACTCACAGTCAGCTGACAATAGTAGAATCTCTCGTTCTGGTTCCATCAATTCCAGCATGACTTTCAGGAAACACAAAAACAATCCAGATACAGCTGGCCAGTGTTTGGATTTGCATCAGACTTATAAAACTATTATGGTGAATATTACCATAATAGTTTAAACAAGAAAAAAGACAAAATCCATTGATTTGCTGGACAGCTAGATTTATTTACTGAGAAATATGGAGACATATGTAATATAAATCATGGAAAAAAATAAGTGATAAACGGCAATAATATCTACTAGGCAGTTAAAACAGTTTACATGACACAAAACATTTTCTCAAACAAACAGAAATTCATTCAATATGCTGGAATATCTCCCAAATGACAAAGAAAAAATAAAAATGTCATTCAAGGAATAAAAAGACAAAGCTCTCAAAGGGAAAAATTTTTATGTTTATGGCACATTGTGAGAAATATTTGACTATTAGGAATTCATATTCTACAATTATTTTAAGCATTACTTAAGAAAAATGTATTCTCTGGAAGTTAATTACATGTTCTAACTTGCTACTTATAAAATGTAACAGCAAATCAGACTGACTGAAAAGGAGCAGGTAGAACTTTCAAGGTCATTGATAAGATAATAGCTGTATATTTTTTCCAATCCAGAAAAAGTACACATTCTTATGTAATTAATATTATACTGAAAATGTATATACTCTTTCTTTGTGTCTCACTGTTTCTGAAAGTTGTGCTTTGCAAACAATGCATGTACACACAAGTACATGTCAAATACTTCTACTGAGTCACATATCTGCTCTAAAATGAGAGAGCAACCATTGGGTAAATCAATCTACAACAATGTAAAATTTGTTCCTTCAGAACACCTTGTTTTACCAGTGAAAATTTGAAAAACAATTAAAATATTTGAAAGATTTTTAATAAATTCATTGAGGCCAAATAAAGAAAACTCTTTTTGCATTTTCAACTAAACTGATTTAAACTATTTCCAGCATACCACACAGCACAAGAGGCAAATGAGGGCACTCAAATAATTACAAGCCTATCAGCTTGTAGCCTATGAATTTAAGGTCATAAAAATTCTTTATGTTACAATGACGCTTCAGCCAAATTCAATTGAACCCCATACCAGTGTTGCTTACAACCTCTAACTATTAGCCAAAAACTCTAGGCAAACTTGAGAATGGCAGAATTTGAGGGTAAAAGCTGTCCCCTTATCTGGACAAACCAAGAAACATAAAAAAGGAGGTAATATATTCTCTGCCCTCAGTAGGGTAATTAAAAAATTGAAAAGGTTGAAATCATGCTTTTAAAAATCTTTCCCCTCAACCAGACCTTTGTCAGAAATTGCTTCAGGAAGTATATATATATATACATATATTAACCAAAAGACAGGATGGAACCATCAGAACTGTTACAAAACCAAAACCTGAGTATTTTGTCTATCATATGTTGCATGAAGAGGGAATACTAACACTTTTGGAAATTTGCAGAAGCCAAGGAAGCCAAAATAAAACAGATGACATTTATTTGTAGCAAATATTAGTACCCTCATGGATGTACAAAAACCACAAACAAATTCCAAATTAGTCTAAACAATATGTTGTAAAGATATAAAAATACATATAAAATTGTTCTATGTCTCAAAAAAACCACAAACAAATAAAAATATATATATAATTGTTTTATGTCTCAGAAAAACCCACAAACAAATAAAGGACTTAGCAAAAACATATAACTACATACAGCAGAAGCTACTGTCGGTAATAGTCCCACGGAAATAAATGCTCCAAATGAATTCAGTGGGATTAGGGTTAGAACCTCCAGTTGAGTAAATGGCTTTATGGTTTATGTGAAAAACCTGAATCTGTCCTTCAAACTGCTCAGTGCGGCAGTGTCCTGCAGCAGCCAGGATGCTGTGACAAATACTGTGCCAGGTAGTAACCAGCATGATCACTGTGCCCAGCACAGGCCACAGCAGACTGAGCAGCTGACTGAAAAAGATAACATTTTCTCAGAACCCTTATATGAATTCATGTTGATGACTCCTCATTGGCAGGAGACAATAGCTGAGAAGTTTTGCAAACATTATTATCACCACTTGCCTCTCTGGTGTCCATGGTCTACAATTCAGTGCTTCTCAGTGAGTGCACTTCAGCTCAGATCCAGAGGTTTGATCATCTGGCTAATTAAACAGACCTATTTAATTTAGTTTATGGGATCCAGCTGCATTTATGCTCCTCATTTTGCTCAAATAAACATGCAGAAACCAAACAGGGAAAGCCACTGCTTTTAAAGCGCTACTAAAAGTGACTGCCTAAAATAATGTCATGACTTCCATATCAAAGTCTTATTTCTGTCATTCCAAAGAAAAGAGTCTGTCATTTAAAGGTGTCAGCTTTAATATTTTTCTCTTAAAACCAGCAGTAACAGTCTACAACCTCCACCATGGCAACAAGGTTGTCACTCTGAATGTCATCCTAGCACTGTAACTTTTTTCTTTTACAGTTTTTGGATCACTCCTTGCTATTGAATCATGATAAATGATACAGTTTGTAATTTCATCTCTCAGGATTTGCCCTCACCAAAGCACAAGCCAAGCCTTGCACTAAAACAAACCCTTGCCAAAGGTATTAACTCACAAATCAAAATGCCAGCCTTTCCAATCAGTCCTACTCATTCTAATCCCATGTGCCCTACATGCTATTTTGTCTAAGTGTCTTGCAAATCAAGTGTTTCATTGCACAAGGCTTTGAGAAGTGTGGGCCAGACCTTGAACAAACATTCCATCTAGATGTCCAGTCTTATTCTTGAAGTGGGCAGTGCTACATTTCTTGGAATTAATTAAAAAAATAAAAAGTTACTAAAACAGATCTTAGTCATTTATTTTAAAAACTCCACATTTCACATACTGTGAACTCTACAACCCTGAACTCTCCTACAGATTTGAGACCTGGCAGGAAGAATAGGAACAGGAAAAACAGAAACAGTGAACAGGAAATCATGAAAGTTCTTTCTTGTCCTTATTGCTTAGGATGCAAGTTGCTGTATCTCATATCCACTGAAGTACTTTACGGATGGCATATGCATTTTTAGGGGTGGGATATTTATACATCTGCTAACTTCTTAAAGACTGCATACAGGATTAATCAGAAGCTCCTTTAGAATTTCCCAGGACTTTCAACCCCAAAAGAAAATTGCTGCTATGAGAAATTCCATATTGTTTTTAAATATCACCCAAAGAATGGAATCAGACGTTATTTGTTCCTACAGGGGACATACACAGAACACATCACCTGGCAATCTAGGTTTCTATGGCAGTACAGGCAGCAAATAACCATTTTATGAAAAATAACAGACTGCTTTTTTTTAATGGCAGCTCAGAACAATGCAGCTGCCTCATTTTTTCAGTGTGAAATACACAAATCTGTTTTAACACCCCAAAGTATTTTTGAGCAAAACCCCTATTGCTGAAGAGTTTACTGCAATTAGTTGTAACTATGGCTATACACTCTGGAAAGGGTGAGAACAGGAGTTTAAAGTAGTGACAGCAACCACAAAGGTATAGGATTGATACATGTACAAACTTAATCAGCATGACCTTAATCATGGTTAGATTAGCTTTAGCTGGCTGCTGCTTTTGTTCAAATGTTGATATTGATAATATGTGGAATGAACCACCCAAGCAGAATGATAGAGGACAAAGCTGATCCAGATCTCTGCCTTCTTTCAGGTTTAAGCTATTGCAAGATATTTTCTTCTACTTAGCTTTGAGCTCTTAGGGAATAAAAGTTATAATCCAGTTCCTCACAAACAATGACCCTATGAAATGCTGCAGACAAAACTTATTTACCAAACAACACTCACTTGTATTCAAATGAAGTGATAGCAATTGGAATGTAGACACTTTCAAATATGTTCTACTCCTTATTTCACTTAAAAAATAGTTGAGATAAGTAAGAAATAGTTGAGATAAGTAAGTAGTAGGTATGCTTTAATTTGTATTGCAATGCCTATAGGTCATAACCAAGATAATGAGTCCCTTCACCCACTATCAGAGCACACAAAACAAGAGCTAAAAACTGTCAGGTGCGCTTCACAGGGTGCCAATACATTAATAGATACTGCGTGGACAACTTAAGCAAATCAAAATATATCCTGCACTCAACTGAGCAAAGGGACACATCACTGATCAACAGCAAAAGCTAAGCTCAGAGCACAGCTACTACTCAGGAGCATAAGCAGGCTATCCAGTTCTGGAACAGAAGGCTGCTCCTAGGTGTAAATGCCAAAAACTACATTAACTTATCAATTAAAGCCCTCAGCAGGGAGATCTTGGGATTGGTCTGTGCTGCCAGAGCCACTTTATCTACAGCCAACAGCAAACAAGCTGAAATAGTTTTGGCTGTCTGATGAACAACCCAAGCTCAATGAGATGTCCTAACCAGCATGACTCAGAGGCATGAACTTGCAAGCCTGAGACATTGGAAACCAGATGAAAGTCAGCCCTGAAACCAATGCAGTTTAGGTCTCTAGAATTTTTGCAAACGTACACAGTGACTCTGCATGACAGGAAACAACTTGAAGTTGCACCAGTTCCTGTTTTTAAGTGACTTTAAGCAACTTATTCAGTCATTTGTTCAGACTGAGACAATACTAGGCAAAGTCAGAAATCCTGCAAGCCAATTGGAAAATTTTAAAGTGAAATGATAGTTGAGTTTGGATATTTTGAAGAGTCAGAGGCAGAACAAGGCTTGTTTGGAGCACTTTTAGATTCACGCGCTGCAAGCATGACAGAGTTATGTTTTCAGTGCCAAAGTCCTAATTGGTTTAAGACCTATAAACAAAACAGAGTGGAAAAATATTAACACATTAGTGCTGGTGGATCAAAGAACAGAGAGATTTCCCAAGGCCACTTTGGGAAGAGACAAGAACTGAGTGCACATTTCTCAAGTCTTAGCTCAGCATTTCTATCATGAGGTTCTTTTCAAAAGACTTATTTCCCAACAAGCCTTACCAATAATGCATAGTCCAATCCCCCCACTGAGAGTAGGTCAAATTATCATCAAAGATAACTACCCTGAACAGACTCTGTTTTTTCTTTTGTTGTGCTCAACTACCTAAACAAGCTGAGCCCCTCCTTGTAGATCACATTTTCTAGATGTCTGATAAAATCTGTTTGTTTGCTCTGGACTCTTTCCAATTAGTACACATCTTCTGAAGTGCACCAATTAAGATTAGTTTTGGGCACAGCACCAGGCACATTAATGAGAATGATGATTATTAAGAACTCTCTCAAAACATTTCAGTTTGTGCGCTTACAATGTACACAAATAAGCAGAAGGAAAAATAAATAAAACCTTTTAGAACTTTAATTCTCCCTAAAGAGTTCTGTCACCTACTCAAGGATGCTGGTAAACAAGGTCAGATCATTACTCAGACAGTATTTGAAGTTACAGAAAGAACAAATAACTGACATATTTTGGCAAAGTCCCACAGCAACCAGATTTGGGACAACAATCTAATTCCACTGAAAGAAAAACAGTTAGACAGTCTGTCTCTACAGAATTAGAAATTCAGAAATATATACTCTGGTACCAAACCTGTCAAAAACCTGAAAAATTAAAATTACCTAATCTAATGGTACTGTGGCACCAGTTTAAAAGTGTCTAACTTTATAGTAGTATTGCCTGAAGACAATACTGTACTTGTCTCAAGTAAAGTGTCTGAAATTGAGTAAAAAAAGAAGCTGTTTTTCAGGAGGAATCTGCTACTGTATACAAGGGTAATGCTAGCTGTAAATGATTTTTACAAGATAAGGAGTAGTGCAGACCGAGTCATATTTTGTCCAAATGTGTTTGGGTGCAGTTTGTCCTTGGCTAAGAAAAATGATGCTCACACTCAGACCAATGACTATCTCTAACACAGTAGTTTAGGAATCCTAACAGAACTAATACCAAAGTTTAGGAAAAATAATTTATCAGTTCCCTGTTAATAGGATCCACCAACTTAATACAAGTTTTGAGAGTTTGAAATGGTCATGTACACATGTATACATATTTACATTCATGGTGCAGGATACAGTTACACTCTTGCCTGTCACAGTCAGGCATGTTCTTCTATTCTTAAGATTTAAAAAAACCCTCAACAGTGAAGAAATTGTATCTCAGAACAAGGCAAGACATCAATAAAGTTATTGCTAAGCTGGAAAATACCTTGTTCTGTGGCAAATACAATTTTCTTTCAAGATGAAACTTGTGAAGCAAAAGCCAAAACACTATTTGTCTTCCTAAAGCCATAGCAAAGACTGTTTACCTCCTCCCTGCAAAGGATATTCAGATATCCATGGCCTACACAAAGACATGAGTTATTATCAATAAGAACAAATACATTTGGGGTTGTTGCTTGCCACACTAATACAATAATGTGTTCCCACTTTCTTTCAGGCTGAAAGCCACATGAAGGTAATTAACGATCTGTTTCCAAGCAGTAGGTGGAAACAATGGAAAATTAAATTTATCCCAATTTGGGCCCTTTCTGTCTCAAAGAGAGCACTGGGTAAAAGCAAACTTAGAAATGTATGCAACTCATGGAAGGTATAATACTTGATGTATGTCAACTTAATTAATCTTTCTGGCTTTGAAAGCCTTGTTGGCTTTTGAAAGCTAGATGCTCAGGAATTATACTGCCTTGTTAGAGGGAGCTACATTAGTAAGAAAAAGCACTCTGGCAAAAGCAAAGGAATTAAAAAAATGGAATAAACGAATTTTGTGTTAAAAGAGTAAAAAACAACCCAAGACACCATCGCTGCACATCTTGGTATTTACTTATAGAATTCTTCATAAAATTGTCAAC